CATTGTCGCATGAGTTGAAGGTGCTCCGCGAAAGCTTCGCGCATCAGCCGCATCCTCCTGACCAGCAACGAGCGCCGCTCATATACCAACCGTTCGTTACGATACCCCTGCATGAGTGCAACTACGTCGTGTTGCATACCCTTCCATGCTGTTACAGCATCAATAACAATCATACCGCCATGAACAAAGCACGCACCCCGATCTGTAAGTGCTGCCGGCTTGCATACAGCCGGTAGGCCGTGCAAGCGCTCAAAATCCTTGGAGTTCATGAAGGCGAGCTCCTTCTCCCAGCCTTCATCGTGAAGACGCGCTTCAACTCTGTGGGTGCCAATGATCAGATGTAATGGCCCCTACCTTGATGTGGGTGGAAGGGTCGATGACTTACGCCTGTATCCTTGCGGCTTTGAGGTCGTCCCGTTCTTGCTTTCTGTTCTCCTTCTGGTCTGAGGCCCACTCCTCAAGTTCACGAGAGATCTAGCAAACAAAGTCAATGTGATACACTGCTGTCGGGAAATCAGGAACAAGACTTACATCTAGACAGACATCGGTGTCCTTCTGACACTCCTGAACGAATCGGATCTGCTCCTCTCTATCGGAAAGTTCCGCCCACTTGCGGCGGAAATCATCGATTTGAGGTTTGAAGTAAACATACCCACCCCTGGGCGAAAAGTGTAACGTCAGCGGTGTACCTGGCATGTGAACTACAGTCACGACTGACCGCCGCGAACGACCGGCTTCCGGAACAAGGTACGGGTCTTTGGCATGCTTCCCCAGCTCTCCCTGTACATCATTCAGTAGTGGTTCAATATGTTTGCGCGGTACGCTGAAATACATATCGCATGATCAGCACATAAAAACCACTGCATGCTGAGATGAGCTCAAAAGGGACCTCACATGTTATCTTCGCAGCGGTCCTTGCAATAGCGCACACCAAATGCATAGTAGGCGTGTTGTATGTTAGGTTTGAGACATTTCTTCATAAGCTAGTTTAGCCACCAGGAAACCCTCGAGACGAATGGAAAGAAATGAACTTACATGACACTGCGGGAAGAACATCAGGTTGGCGTACGAAGGCTCGCAAAGCCAAGGGGGCAGAGCTGGCAGTCCCTCTACATTCGCCCTGGCAGCCTTCCAAAGAAATTCCTGTTTACGATCCATTAGGAATGCTCGGAAACCCTTGGTCGTCCGTGCGAGGTTCAGCACGTCTCGCGGATGCAACAGCTGCACGATCTGTGCCGCAGGGGTCAGACCTCGGTTATCTTCGCCAGACGCGTCGTTTCGTTGCTTACCTCCATGATAATATCGAATGGCATGTTTGGCATGTCCTTGAGGCCTCCACGCCGACCGCGAACATGGCGGCGTGGTTTCGCCACATCGGTGGCGTTCGACTCTGTCTCCGAGTCCGGAGTCTTCGCGGTGCCACTGTTCAAGCCAGAGATGGCGGCGGTGGCGCGCGAGTGAGATGTCTTCGTCTTCTTCTTGGGAGGCATGGTGTCAAAGAGCAACAGAGAAAGGGAGATGGAGGCGGAGGTGGAGGTACGACCTTAAGAGGGAGCGGTTGTGGCTAAGAACACGAGCGCGTTTAAACGCGTCCAGACGCGTGGTACGGGACTTGCCGTAACTGATCACGAGGGAGTGGCTGTGCTCAGCTCGCACACGGCGGGGATGAGCGCGTTTTCTTCCTCCGAAAACCTGTAGAAAAGGCGCGGCAGGTAGTTACCTTTTCGTACGTTTGTCACGTGCGCGAGCCTTTTCAAAGGCTTTTCGTCAAAAAGAAGGACAACATACGAAAAGGTAACTACGTTGGTGGGATTTTGGTTCCCTTTTCAGCCAAAGAAAATGAGCGAATCCCCGTCGTGGCAGCTGCAGAGCGTCCGAGTTTGATCCTCGTAAAGGGCAAAATCTGCTATGCGGCCGATTGACGGTGTCAAGTACTACATCGCCGTGCCCTTGGTGTTGGTACGATCTCGCGTCTTAAGAGGAGGTACGAGAATATATAATTATTGATGTAACGGCATCGGTATTAATAATTACTCGGGAAGAGGTACGGGGACGTCCGCCTTGCTGTCGACGTCGAGCGCGAGCACAAATCGACTGACGAGGTTGTAGGTTCCAACGGTGGCGACGGCGTCCACCATCTGCTTGTCGTCAAGGAACTTGTGAAGGCCGTCGAAGACAGGCTGAGGCACCTTGACTGCGTTGGTCATAAAGTCGGCGAGCAGCAGCGCGGCGGAGAGCTCGGGGGTGAGCGAGGGCTTCGGCGTGAGCGGCGACAGGAAGGCGGGCGTAAGGCGAATCTCGAGCAGCTGCTCGAGTGTCAAGCCCACTTCGCGTCCGACGGGCTCGTGCTGCAGCCTGTTGGATGAGAATGGCAGGTATCGTTAGAAACCTGATGCAATGATGACAAGGCTAGCGAAGATGATCACCAAACATATGCCGCATTGTTCAGGACTCCAGTGCGCAAGATCTGGTGATGATGATCAGCTCACAGCCCTCGTATAATTAACGCGGATACTCACGAAGAGCTCTCGCATGGGCGCAGGCAGGGAGTTGTTGTCGCGGATGACCGTAGCAAGGGCGTTCCACCCGGCCGCGAGCCCATCGTCCTGAAGGCTGGTGTGTTGTTCAGCTCATATCACCCTAGCGTAGAATGGCACCAAACATACAGCACGCCGTCAAGGTCCAACAGTGTGTTGTTGGTACGTCTTGAGCGGATTGCGTCCGCAACCTAGAGGTACCCTGGGTGTGAGTACCATGCGTGACTATCATAGGCAGAACATACATACCGAGTCGGTCCCCGGAGCAGGGAAGACGTATGGAACCCGCGCAGGCAGGTTGTCGTCGCGTTTTACCGGTGCATGTCCGACGACGGTGCCCACGAGGAGAGCAAGCCCGCAGAGGAGCATCGAGAGGTTGAAGTGCAGCATGGGTGGACGCGGAGGGAAAGACCGGGGCTCGATGTTAAGCTGTCTGTCCCGAGTAGATCGACGCTGGTTTTATAGCGAGCTTCGGCCGACGCTCGCTGGCCGCCGCTGGCCGCCGTCCTCGACCTCGAAGTCATCGTGCGAGCTATTCGAAGCATGCCGGTGTCAGCCCGATTCCCATGAGCGTGGCTACGCCCTGCCACGGTTGGGATCAGCCGTATGGCTATCCTTCTCGGGCGTGATTGTAGCATGCAGGTAGCATGCATGATTTTCCAGGCGCACGGGCGCCGTCGTCGGTCGGGGCCTGAGTTGGAACTTGGCGCATGCAAACGAAAGACGACCACCAGGGTGATGTCTTAGGTACCCGCGTGCGTTCGTATCTACGCGACATGCGTCGCAGGATGGTCTGTCGGACGTGGGTTAGCTGCGGGCGATGTCATACCCAGGTATTCCGCTCAGAAGCAGTGGTCGTCGCATCAAGCTCGAGTGAGAGGATCACGCTTGGATCACGCTGTTGCGTACCGCGAGAACCGCAGCACTCTCTGGCCATCGTCGGCGAGACCGCTGACGTCAGGAGAACTATGCAATGATATTATAGATGCGTGCAATGAAACAGTGATATCGCCCGCCTAGCTCAATCGGATAGAGCGTCAGACTCTTACTAGCGGGTGATCTGAAGGCTGCGAGTTCGACCCTCGCGGTGGGCTACTGGTTTTGCTCCGCGGGAAAGCAATACATATGATGATAGCGGCCTGACGTTGTATACAGTGTGCACTCGGGAGGCTTATGTATTAGGTCACTCGACGATGCGCCACTCTATGAGCTTGTATACTGTCGATATTTGGTCTCTATTGTGTCCGTTGCGAGCGAGCGTAGCTCGTATTTGTTCCTACTTAGGTTTCTTTTGTATTCCAGCGTTATTGTATTTACATAGCTACGCGCCACTCGATTAGGTACTTAACAGGCAGCGCGCCCCACAATATACCTCACGCGTTTGCACCCGGCCAAACGCGCTTCCTCGCGCTCTCTCTCGCTCTCACCCACGCGCCCTAAAATCTTACATATACTACTAGTAGTGACTTTCGAGCTCGTGAGTGGAACAAGCATCGTACAGGGAATAGGTGTTCATAATGAAGATATTCTGATATACTGTTCGACAGTGGCCACCTTTGCACAGGAGTAGTATTTCTAAGTCTGTTGGACGGAGGTAATTAGCTACATTGTAATAGAACTCATAAGCAGTGCCCTTCTTACCGGGCGACGAAGGTGGTCGTCGATGATAATCATGCTCATCAACGCTCATACAACTTGAACTTGCCGTCGGTGAGGGTTACCGTCCTAGTTCGCCACCGGGGGCCACCTAAGGTGAATTCCACTTTCTGCAGCGTGGGCACCGCAGTAACGAATCGGCGAATATAGTCTTCCAGGTCGAAGTCGTTGGTTGATCGCTCCGCAAGATTGAGGGGGTAAGACTGAAGGTCTTGCAGGGGGCGCGTGGGATAATTATCTTCTTCTTCTTCGAGCCATACAATATCCCTGTAGCGGGACATCATGTCGCGGTGTTTGAGATCGCTCGGCCGCGGGTCCACATCGTCAGTACCTATCGAAAGCCGCAATCGTCTCAAGGGCGCATTCGCTGCAAGAGCGGAGAGCAGTCCTTCCTGTGAGGACCGACCAATGAGTTAGGCGCGTTAGAGACCCGTTGAAATGGGCAGGAACGCACCAAAGCTATGCCGACCTCGAGATCACAGTCGTCCTTTCCCAACTTGCTCTTCATCTCTAGCGCCTCAAGGCGCGAGCCGCCTGGTCCACGAAATGCTGCAAATACATCTGAGGCCGGATCATGGAGCTTCCAAGGCCACGGGTTGGATAAGACAAGCTTCCGGGGGCGGCCATAGGACAGCACGGAATCGAGCATGTGCCGTTCGTCTGAACACAGGTTGGTCAAATGCATGTCATCGATAAGGCCAGTCAGGCCGAGTCGATAGAGATCATGAAGATTCCCTTCGAAGTGCTGCAACGATTCCCAAGCGCAGCCCAACTGGGTTTGCTCCTGAATGTTTCGGGCACGGAGAGTCTCCATGCGAGACAGAGATGAGCGCGTATCGAACGAGTGCCTCCAGAAGGATAGATGCGTCAAATGTGGGTACGCGCTAGCGTAGGACGTAGCCCTGCGCGGGAAGATGGGGCTGGGTAGGGTGAGCTTGCGCATTTTCGGGAACACTAGCATAGGTGACGGGGGAGTGTCGGGGACCGTGTACCATTTGCCGATGCATAACTCTTGAAGTGTAGACTCGGACTGTCCCAAGAGCGCGGTATAATGGTATAGTATCCTGTCTTCTTCAGGAACTTCATCGTCATCAAAGTCGGTGTAGAGCTCGAGGTAGACTTTGACAAGACTGGACCGAAGAGACTGGAGCATCTCGATTGCAAGTTCGCCCATGTAACCCAACCTTAGAACCCGGATGGAGGTGAGAGAGGAGATCGCCTCAGCAAGGCCGGGGTGGGACAGTATGAGGCTCTCGCTGTACGGTATACGCAGTTCTTCGAGCTTGGTCATCAAAGGCAGCGCGGTGGCCAGCTGCAGCGCGGTCGACTCTGTAAGATTGCAGATGTTCATGTCGAGTGAGTGGACGTATTTGAAACGCTTGGTGCCTTGGATTCGCAAGAAATTGATAAGATCGATCAGTTGGTCCTCCCCGTAGAGAAAGATAGGGTGCGAGAGCAACGCTTCGCACCCGTGGGTATAAAAGAAGCGACAAGTGCGCATGAATCGCGAACAGTCGGGCCGCGAGGAGAAGTTCATGACCTCGAGGAGGATATCGTAGTTCAGAGTTGGACGCGACTCCATGGCCGACGTTAGGCGAGTGAGACAACAAGGGGATCTAGGGAGCAGAAATATGCAGTTAGCCACAGCGAACACGGTGGGCAAGCAACAGGCCCAAGGTTTTGCCAGCGTATTCCGAGGTTGGTGTTGGACTCACGAAGTTGCTATTTGGTGTCTTCTTTGCGCACCTGTGTTCCGCGCGTGTACGACGTTCGACGAAAGCCCGGCCTGCAAGTGAGAGACGCAGAGAGTGGAAGAGAAGAGAGATGTGAGTGGAAGCGCCCAGGCTGCGCGCGTCCGCCGATCAGCCTGAGGGGACAATGGAGAAGGTTGTAAGTCGCTCAGGGCAAGTAGCCACAAGCCTGGTATCGATTCAGTCGCCGTCTGGCTAAGACACAACAAGATATGGATACAATTGAGTATATGTACGTATACCCCATCTTTCACGTCTCCCAGCAAACCCCACACCAGATCGAGCTCCGAAACCCTCCAACCCCAAAGTAACGCGCTCCTACGCCGTAACGTCCACCGGCTGCTCTTCTGATTTGGGCGGTAACAATGGTGGCACGGAGCTGAGGCGGATCAAATCCTGAGACTGATCGTTCTCCGAGCCCATGAGTCCTCGATGTACGGATCGTCGTATGGGCTAGATTGTACTAGTAACGGCTGATTTCGATTCGTACTGCTCCAGAGTGCACAGCGGCGCATGAGCGAGCAACATCATGGGCGCCTCCTAAGTAAATCCTGTGTTAGATGTGCTATACTCAAGCATGCACGCACTTACCATGAAATTGTGAGGTCGTCATTCACATCCCAGCCCGACGGTGATAGCGAGGCTCTCGAGGCTCGAGCTGCTTCATCCGTGGCAGGCCACGGTGACATCTTTGAAGCCACATTCAAAAAACCTTCGGCACTCCTCCATCTCGATTTGTCACGGACATGCACTGGACAGCGGCTGAAGCACGTTAACCGAAAGTCGCACAAATTGCGGCATGAACAGTTCCCGGAGGGTTGTCCAGGCCGCTAGTGTGCCAGAAAGGCCTGGGTAAGATTCCAGAAAAGATTCGCTGTCGAGCACACAGAGCGAGCAGAAGTTTGACATTTTGGCAAGTGAGGCAAGATGTTCGACCGATGTCGTGTCAGAAAAATTGCGTCGATGCGGCATTGCGTGCAGAGAACCGACGTATTTGAAGCCCTTGTTATGCGCTTGAGAAACGCGAGGAAGCAGCGCAGCTTCTTCCGAGACAGACATACAAGCTGTTGCAGGAGAGCTTTCGAGCCTTTTGTGTAGAGAAAGCGACGTGTTCGCAGGAGTACAGCGCCATCACAGAGCGAAGAGACCGCTATGACCTTCAGCACGATGTCGTAGTTGAGGACCAGTTGCGAAAGCATCGCTGATGACGATGGAGAGCGAGCGGAGGAAGGGATATTGATACTACAACAATAGAGCGTCAGCGACATGTATTCGCGGCGTATGAAGCATCCGCGGACCAAACAAAAGGATCAGTGAACTGAACCAATCGAAATCACTGGCAGCGCATACTGCACGAGAACGAGCACGCCGTTACAGTATGTATACATGAGATACATGAGAGTAGTTTCCCCTCTTTATCGCACCGAGCTCACGCGGTGCCCTTCGGCCTGTTCATGCGAATACTGTGAGGTGGTTTTGAACGGGCTGCCTTCCTCTATAAGGACAACAAAAAATGAGCGATGCAAACCACTCATAAAGTAAATCAAACTTACACATTCACGAGCCCCAGCGACCTGAGTTTCCACTGGGAAACATTTCGCAACGTCCGGTGACCACGCGCGACAACGATACGTAGCAAGGAGGTGGTTAGGATACAAGGGTGCAAGTTCAAGAGGGAGGCGGAGGGAGTCGAAAGCAAGAACCGCCGATGTCATGCTCCGAATGCGAGGTTTAGGGAAACGGCGGGAACATGCTGTTGTCAATATAGCCTATAGCAGCATCGCCCGCCTAGCTCAATCGGATAGAGCGTCAGACTCTTACTAGCGGGTGATCTGAAGGCTGCGAGTTCGACCCTCGCGGTGGGCTAGTCCACGTTTTTGTTCGCGGACACTGCACTTCCACCCAAGGCATACGTATGCATAAGTACCAAGTACAGTACGTCGAACCTATTTTGACATTTTAGACCTGCTGCCATCCAGTGAATTGCCGTGAGAAGAGTTTCAATTTCATCGTCCAGAGGTGAGATAGGACACATTCGTATGACATCTTGAACCGGACGAGGTTTATATATTGGGCATGCACCGACTTTCAGAGTGGCGGCAGCCTCCTGGCAGGCTACGAGTAACTTCATGATACCAAACGGGCACCCCAACCACAACCTCTCCCTCGTCCAACAGATAGTGCGGTGTGGCCGAGACATCGACCTGGAGCTCCTCCACTTGGGTAGGATGCACAGCGGGACCGGAGCCCTACATCCGTAGCTATCATTAGCAATACGTCGCCTCGAGACGCACGGCCGACGACTCACCGTCCAGACGCGCCAGCAGAGCTCACGACGCAAATAGGGCACGACCTCGTCGGGGTGGAGCGACGCGACCTCCGCGCGCTCGACGATCACTCTCGTGAGCTCGACCTCGCCGCCGACGGTGATGTCGCCGATGCGGGTGCAGTTCGCGCAGCGCTCCGGCGTTGGGTGCGCGAACGCGGCGTAGTCCCCGACGAAGTTCGGGCTCGCGGTGAAGTCCTCGGGGTCGGAGGGCGGGTCTCCAAGGAAGACGGACACGGAGAAGCTGCCGCGGAGCGCGAACTTCTTCACGGTGATGTGCGCAGACCAGGCGAGGACGGCTCTGGTGGGTTTACGGCCGTGGTAGGAGGACAAGGCGGTCGTAGCACTCGACGGGAGGGGAGGGCATAGGCTTTGAGAGGCCCCGGCATCGAAGGCGAGCCACAGGTTGACGGGAGCCGCAAACGGATACAGTCTCTCGATGTGAGTCCTGATCGTGTTCTGCACAGCAGCCTTATCGCTCCAGTCTGTGATACCGTCGAAATCTGGGTAGGAGTAACCGAAGAGCCCATTCGTAGGCGCTTGGAGATCTGCAGAGGCCCAGAACTGGCCATCGCCAGTGCTGTAGAACGGCGTCAGGGCTGTGCGCAACATTTGTCAGAATGGTGAGAGTGGAGGCACCTAAAGCTCACGTACAGGTCGTCGCACTGACTTCCCCGCCCGCCTTAATCGTCCATGTGCCCTTATATTCCTTGGCATCGGTAACCCACTCGTCCGGGTGCATGGCCATCCACAGCGAGAGAAGGCGATCGGTCTGCGAGTGATGTATGAAGAAGAAAGGGTCGAAGGCTGTCGAGGAGTAGCACATCAGCGGTGGACGATACACAGTTTTCGATGATCCGAACCGGCTACTGGAGGACTCGACATATTGCCGCGATTTGCCCCACCACCAAGAGAATAATGAATGTTCCCGTGTAGCTTTTCGAGGCTGTTTTCGGCCGGATAAGGCTGGGTGCCCTTGGTGTCGTTACTGAATGGTCCCCATGTAGCGATCTGGTTGCTCAGGAGCAGCCTGCCGGTCCCGTCCTTGCGGGCCTTTAATGCATTATCCGAGAGGCTCCTACATGTTGTCCTACGATCAGCACCTGATATTTCGTGCTTGTCGACGTGGCTTACTTTTCCAGGGCCTCGATATCGTCTTCTATGACGCCAGTGCTGGTGTTCGCCTTGCCCCACCGGTGTGTGACCGAGTTCCAGGCCGGCATGACGAACGGGTTCGGGAAGTCGGCAGGTTTCTGCTGGAACCTGTACAGCAGAAAGGGATTGTCGATCGCACCCGAATTGCCCAGCGGCGGGAGCGCGACGGTGAGTTGCGGCTGGGTGTAAAGCTCTCGTGGAGGCCGTGCGGTGCTGGACCAGTCCCAGTACGGAAAACGGAGCTGTATGGCTGCGTCGACCCAGTCTGGCTTGAAGTTGGTGTACCTCTGGGCGATGTCGAGCGCCACACGTTGCAGTTCTTGCTATCGAGGACGTCAGCGGTCGAAGTGCAACGTCTGGAATAGAGACGATCGAGGGCTACAGACCTCAATCAGCGCCATGTAGGGCCTGTGCCAGGTCGGAAACAACACGGAGCCATGCGAGCAGTAGCCTAGGAATTCCGGTGTGGGCTCGACGTGCTGTACGCCGGCCCCGTCGTAAGGAATGTATGGAGCGCCGTGGATGCCAGCTATCTGGAAGAACGACAAGTTCGAGTTGGAGTCCACTGTGGTCATCATATGCACTAAGGAACATGGATATCAGGGCTGAGGTGATCGACTCTAGCATGGGAGTACTCACATAACGCCTGCACGAAGAGCGAGAACTGCTTCACGTCGGCCATGAAGGGGACAATCTCGCGCCGATTGAACACAGAGGCCCCCTTCCTGTCCGTGCCTATAACGCCGGACGTGATACGGTGAGCCATTTTGTGAAAAGTCAGGACTTCAAGCAGGAGGCAAGGTGTCGGATGAGAACCAGAGCACAGGCCGCTACCGAGCGGACATGTCCATCACGCAGCCGCCTTTATACACTTCGTTTACCGGGTTAATGGTAGAAGTGCAAGTGCGGTGGGAGGCTGCATGTTGCTCGCAGCGGACACACGTAGACCGAGGAACATAGACTGACAGTGCCGACGGCGAATTGAAACGCTTGACGTGGACCACAAAATCGCCGAAGTCAACTGTGATCATATGCACGTATTCCTCGCGTAGCAGGAGGCCGGGGATTCAACCTTAGACCAATGAGTTTCAACCCCCGATGCTGTAAACGTTCGGCAGGAACAGAGCGTACCGAAGAAAACGGTGTCGCCGGTTTGGCGCTTGCAGTATTGACAGCGTCACAGAGACGCGGTGGTGTCGGCTGCAAAGATCAGTATAAAGAGCTTCCCGCGCAATGAAGTCGCTCAGTATCCTGTGCTGCTATTCGACAGAAGATGAAGCACATGGACATATTCACCAGTGACTAACATACATCGACGGAGCATCAAGATTTGCGCTTGAACAAGTAGTGCCCAACTCCCCACCTGCGAATCCGTTCAGCGGACGTCTCAACCTGAAACAAAGATCAACTTACTCCTGCCCGTTGTGGAGGGCGAAAAACTCCGCGACCGCGAGGTAGAAGACCCGGAACCTGGCTCCATATAAGCACCTCCGAAAAACACGCGAGGAGCATGATGCGCACCTGTAGAAGGCCTTCCGGCCCTCCTCCTTATCGAGTCCCTTGTATACGGCATCCTTCTCGAGCTCCGCGAGCCCCGCTTTCGCGTTTGCGTCCTGCCGGCGGAGCCAGTCCTCGCTGGTCTGCGCATAGTGCTTCCCATTGATGTACCAGCTGCGGACATGCGTCAAGTCGTCTTGGAAGTACAGCTAGGTCACATCTGAGCAAGGGTACGTGTGTATCGAGGGTCAGCAGAAACGTACGAGCAGGTCATGCGAAGGCATTGTGCCGCCTGCACTTAAGTAATCAGCGCCCGAGGAGAGGGGCTGCATAAAGGTGGGTTCTGACCTGAGAAGAACGTCTGCGCCATCCAGCCGTCGCCTTCCTCGAAGTGGTAGGGCGTCGTCTTGTGGCAGAATATGTGCACGAAGAACAAGGACTCGTCGGGGCTGTTCGGACGTAACCAAGACGAGACCTTCGACATGAGGAGCTTGTAGTTCTTCATATGTTCGAACATCTAAGGGCCAGATATGAGACGATGTTCGGTAATTCTAGTAGCGTCAGGGTCGCGCGATACCTCGATAGAAAGGATGCGGTCAAAGCTGGAAACGCTCAGCCAGAAGCGCGCCCGATATTCGCAACAGGAGACTCACTGTTGTGTTCCGTGGAAGTCATGCACGTTAACATCGGCGGTAATGATCTAGCGCGCGGTCAGCCTTTTGAAGCATATGTTGCAGCTGTTCTCATATCGATAGGCCCCCGTGGAAACACACAGGTGTTCATGCCCAGACGCAGCGGCGACGCTTCGCGTGGGGCGGTCAGCAGGTCGCGGGCACCGCGAAGAGGTACGCGCACATAGAGGAGTACATCCGCGTCCTCTCCACATCGCCGCCTGAACCGCTGTCCGTGATAATTTCTTCCACGGGCCTTTCGATTTGATAACAGCTGTAATGGTATGATGTTTACCTCCAGGTTCGTGAGGCCGCGAGCATTCGCAACGTTGTCTATGTGTGTCTTTTGCGTGGAAGAGTTCGATAGCCCAGTGATCTTCGATCCTGGGTATTTCTGCGAAACACGTGTGAACGAACATAGACGTAGGGCGCGCAGCACGTCATAAACCTACCTGCGCAAGGTACAGGGATAAACTGCCCCATCCTGGGTTTCGAGCTTCAGTCGGTGAAGTTCGAAACGAGAGTGCAGCTCGTACCGCAGCCAAGGTCGAGAATATCTAGCCCGTCCCTCAACTGCGCCTTCTCGCAGTAGCTTTCAAGCATCAGGATCTCGGCCTCTTCCAGTGTCTCCTTGCCGGTGGGATATAGACAGCACGAGTATTTCGCGTAGGGGCCCAGGCACGAGAGCATAAACGAGGTAGAAACCTGGCAGACGTCATTGACGGCTGCTTTTATCACTGCACCCACTCACACAACATACCTCATAGTGTTGCTCATTAGCCTTCTCCGTGAGGTCCGCAATCTTGGTCCGGGCGCGGACGCCCTCTATCCATTTCATCTTGGCTGCATAGTTGGCCTCGAAGGAGCCGAGGTCTATCTCTCTGAGTCGTTGACGACACAGCGCACGGATGACCGGTCTCAGTATAAGATCTGGAACGGCACCCTGGCAGATAGAATCGCTCTCAGAAACTGGACGACAACCCCAAAGCGGCGGCAGAGCGGTACCTTGTCGAGGAGCTTGTAGCCGACTTCGAGGGCGCGGTCAGTAAGTGACATGGTGGTGGTGGTGATAAGAGGACAACAAGCGGGGTGTGGGGAACGTCGTCGTCAGGCAACCCTGCGGTGTTCCCGCCATGGGTGGCAGCGTGCCCGAGAGACGCTGCGCCGGTGCCCGACGCGATGGCAGGACGCACGACGCGTCGCGATCGAGCTGCCCATCGGCGTCACGTGCGGGGACGACGCGGGGCAGACGCTGGCGCCGCGGCGCTCCCGCGTTGGCTGCTCTCTCCTCTCCAGCTGCGAGTGCGCCGCACGGTGACGTCGGTGCGCTCTCTCGCCTCACTCCGCGCATCTCGGCTCGTTCTCGCTTGGGCCACTGGCTTCGATTGCTGCCTGTGCTCGTACACTACCACGTCCCTGACTCTAGTCTACCACTGCTCGACCACTGGCCCTGCGCCCCTCGCATCGCTTCCCCAGTCCCGCCGCCGCACGAGCGGCCTCTCTTTGCAGGCGTCCCGCGCGGCGAACAGCACTCAGTTCTGTATGTACTTACCACCCAGCCGCCCTCACGCCATGCCCTCGCCCTCGCTCTCGCCCTCGCCCTCGCGCCTCCGCTCGGCCTCCCTTCCTGCGCCGTCGATACCTCTTGCCTGCCCAGGCCGCGCTCCGCTCGTCCGCTGCCAAGTCCGTGTCAGCATCATCTGCCGTGTACCAGCAAGCACAGAACTCGCCACTCACCATATCCCGCCCGCTGTCTCGACTCTAGTCGCATCCGTCCTGTATACTGACTCGTGAAAGGTACAAGACGGTCAGCTACGAGACATCAGAGTGTCCGTTACGATGCAGGCCCTGCTTGCACGCCCAAACCTGCTCTCCGGGGAGTGCCCTTTGCGCTATTCCGACTTCAGGTGAGTTAATCCTACCCCGCTTTACCTGCAAATCAAAGGCTAATACGCATGGTCAGCATGTATGCGCGCGCGAGTCGTCAACAGCGAAAGGACATACTCGTCGCGAGCCGTTCCGTACGCTCGCCGAGCACCACAGTTGCTGCTGCTCGCCGTCAGGTGCGCAATGGCCGCGGCGCAGGCTGTACACGCAGTCAGCGGACGGGTGGTCGCAGAAGCCACGACCAGGGACGTACCGGACGACACAGCGCATTCAGCGTTCGACGATACAAAGCCTGTCCGAGCGAAAGGCGAAGAGGGAGGGGATGAGCCTGTCTTCGACGCCCCCCGCCAGCTTTTAACCGTCCCATGACGCGCACAGACCTCCCCCTTGTCCTGGAAATGCACGGTGCACGCCTGGGAGGTCGCTGTTCGGGTCGTGGCGCGCTCGCCATCTCCGCCGCCGGCGCCCCGTCCACGCTCGGACGTCAAGACTGTCCGGGCCCCACGCACACCTGCCCCTGACGGTGCATACCCCTCAGGACAGCGCACGTTCCGCGCCGAGCGAGCACCGACCGCCAGCGCAGACGGCCCGCTCCCCTGGCCGCCCCGCGAATCGTCTACAAGACACCCCGCCGTTAGAAGGCTTACAGGTCGGTGCGGCACAGATGGTCCTCTCCACGGGGACAGCACAAGCACGAGCACGGGGCGCAGAGCGCAGAGCGCAGTTCGTTGCGGCTAGCACGTTTGCAAAGTACGTACAGCCTGCTCGATGTGCGCACTTCGATCTGATGCCCTCGTGCCTCGAAGCGAGCATGGACGGCCTCACCTGTGGCCGTTCCCATTTGCGTCCAAGACGCCGTCTTCGCGCATGCCCGACGCACAGCGGGCATGTCGTATGGTCCGCGTGCCTCGCACCGTTGTGTACGCCGTGCCGCCGCATGCGCCCCCGCCTCTGCACGCCGCCTCTCGTCGGCAGGGTCCCTCCTCTCTCGAGGTCGACTCCCGCCGCGACGTCTCCCCGTGCGGCTTCCTGAACGCGATGGCGCACTCACGCGCACCACGACGCATGTACACTACAGCACGCAGTGCCGTCCGCGCAAATATATTGCGTCATCTTCGCCCGTTGGATGGATGGAAGGAGGCAGAATACGGCGCGTCCCCGCCCGCTGTTACGTCCCTCAGTGGCGTTCCTCGGTCCACGCGCATGGGCAGACGTCTTCGGTGGCTCTCCGCCGTGCGCAGACGCGTGCGGGCAGTGCATGGCGGCATTTCAGCGGGCGGCGGGGCGGCGCCGACGCGCAACGTCCTCGAACTGTGAGCACGGGGGCACGTTGTGCGTGCTCGGGACGCCGCTCGAGGACGCCCCCAGCGTCCTCAGCATTCGCGCATCGTGCGCGGTCGTCCCGGGGACGGGGGCGCGCCGACAGAATGCCACTCTCGCGCCTCGGCGCCGCACCAGAGACCTTCGTAACCGCGATAGCATGTTGTATCACACCGGGACGCATGGCGCCGCCCAATCCCAGGGCAATCAGGCGGGCTCGTCTCCGCGTCGTTCCACGGACAGAAACCAGATGAGAACACAAAATCACGACTCGCGGTCCGTGCTCGTGTCGCCCCGCGGCGCGGCGTGGAATGACAGGCAACACGACGGCCTCCCGCCGTTTCCCGCCGCTCCCAGCTGTGCGCGGGGGCCTTGGGACAAGCTAAGCTGGATTTCGACGATTTCGCGGGGCCACTCGATCGCGCGTGTTCGCGCACGTCGAGACGCCGCTGCGGAGCGGGCCTCTCGACCTCAATTGACGTGCATGCGCTGTACATCAGCAGGGCTCCCCTCGCCGCCGTAGTGCGCGGCCGCGGGACGCACGTAGTCGCTGCGGTGTCGCGCGAGCGCGGGTACATTTCCACGAAACATCGCGTTCCCGCCGCGCCCTGCGTTCCTCGCCTTCCGAGACGCACGCACACACTCTACGCACCAGGTCGCATGCGCTCTGTGAGTCTCGGCGCGATCCGGGCATAAACTGCTGACCGCGTTTCCGGTGGTTTCATGGGCAGAACCGGCGGAATGCAGAAAAACGCGCGTCCCGACCTCCGTGCACATCCTCCCGCGGCGCGATGTCGCGAACGCGCTCGAGCGGACGTTTGCGATGGGCCCTCGCTACGCGTGAATGTGTGCGAGGAGAAAAGTTGCCCGTCGACGATTTCGTAAGGGGGGACCCTTGGTGCGTGACCCGGAGGTGCGTCTGTGTGTATATATCTCGTACTCCATGTATTGAAGTGATGTCTACCATCTAGAACGCGGCGTATGGACGCACAGCATGCGATCCACATGCGTTCGCGGCGCTCGATCGTCACTGTACTCGTCCAGGAGCTGTGCCAATGGTGGAGCCTCCCGTGAATTCCGCCAAAACATCGCTTCTCCGCCGGGTTCTGCATCCGGGGCCGTCCAAAACGCACCTATGCGCTCCGTGAACCAGGCCACGTACGCTCTGTGAGTATTAGTGCGATCCGAGGACAAAATGTTGACGTCGTTGGCGGTGATTTCATGGACAGGACCAGCAGAACACAGAGAAATGCACGTCCTGGCCCGTATTTTCATCCTCCCGCCGCGTTCTTCTGCCAACGAACTTGGATGTGCGCCCGCTACATGCGTCTACACGCCTGCATGTTCCCGGAGAAATAAGTTTCTGCTCGATGATTTCGAAAGGGGGGACCCTTAGCGCCGGGTCTGGAGGTACGTCTGTACTTATATAGCTTGCACCCCACGTATTGAGACGCTGCAAACCATCTAGAACGCGGCGCAGGGACATACAGCATGTGATACACACGCGTACGGGGTTCTCAGTCCTCGCTGTACTCGTCCAGGTGCTGTGTCAATGGGAAAGAATCCCAGCATCACGACAAAACATCGCTTCGCCGCCGGGCCCTGCATCGGGAGCCTTCCAAAACGCACCCACATGCTCCGCGAACCGGGTTGCATGCGCTCGGTGAGTATAAGCACGATCCGAGAACAAAATGCTGACCTCGTTGTCGGTGATTTCATGGGCAGAACCAGCAGAGCACAGAAAAATGCGCGTCCTGGCCCGTATTTTCGTCCTCCCGCGGCGTGCTTCCACGAACGCGCTCGGATGTACGTCCGCTACACGCGCTCAGACGCTTGGATGTCCGCGGAGAAATAAGTTTCCGCTTGACCATTTCGAAAGGGGGGACCCTTAGCGACGGGTTAGAGGTGCGTCTGTGTGAATACAACTCGCATTCAAAGTGTTGATGACGTCTTATCTATCTAGAACACTGCATATAGATGTGCAGCACGCGATACGCACGCATGCACAATGCTCGGTCGTCGTCGTACTCGCACCGGCCCTATTCTCGCTGGGAAGCATGCCCAAAATCCCGCAAAAACGTCGATTCCCGTCCACTCCCGTTTCGGGTGCCCTCAAAATCGCAGACGCACACTCAGTGCACCAAATCGCGTGAGCTCGGTGAGTTTCAGCGCGATCCGAGGACAAAGTATTTGCCTCGTTATCGACGATTTCATGGGCGGAGCCAGCAGGACGTAAAGAAATGCGCGTCGCGACCTCTGTTTGCATCCTCCCGCCGCGCGCTTTCGCGAGCACGCTCGAGTGGACGTCTCCGACGCACGCTCGCTACGCTTGAATGTGCGCGGAGAGAACATGCCTCTCGGCGAATTTGTAAGGGGGGACCCTTAGCGCCGGATCTGGAGGTACGTTCGTGCGAACATATCTCATGCAAAGTGCTGAGACACTCTTGACAGTCTAGAACGTGGCGCGTGGACGTACGGCATGCGCTGCGCATGCGCACAAGGTACTCGGTCGACGCTGCACCCGCGCTCGCGCTGTGCTCGTCGGGAGCGTCCCCAGAATTTTACCAAAACATTGCTTCCCCTCCCGCGACAGCACCGGGAGCCCTCGGAAACGCAACCACGCGAACAGTGCACCATTACGCACGTGCTCGGTGAGTTCCAGCCCAATCTGAGCACAAAATGGTCATATCCTATCCGACGTTTTGCATTCGCAGCGACGGGGCAGCGACCGAGAATGTGCGCGACGGCCTCGTTTGGCCTCCTCGCGCGACGCGCTTTCGCACACATGCGCGAGCGAACGACTGCGACCGCGCTCTACCACGCTCGAGTGCGCGCGCTGGCGAAGTTGCATTTCGACGATCTGCAGTTTGTACGAGGGGAACCTTGGGGCCGCGTCTGAGTTTGGTGCTAATTTACACGGTTCTGAACATGTAAACACTTCGTATACGTGTAGAACACGACATGGGGATCTGCGAACCATGCTCCACACATGCACCGCATGCTCGGTTGACCTTTGACAACACATCCCGAGGTCTCCTTGAAAATCCGACTTGTGGACATCTAAATTGAGTCACCGCGTGCAGAAGCTCGAAGCCTGGGTGTGCATTGGGACTGCGCACACCAGTGCGAAGATATCATATCCCTGAGATATGAATACACTGCGTACGCGTTGGGAACGCGACACGGGGTCCTGCGCGCTCCTCACCATAAGGTTCGCGGCCATTACTATATTGCGCCCGCGCTGTGGGGCATAACCCGCCAAGGTGTTATCCCCCTCGATCTGATACCGCCCCTAAAAGCTTCGCGAACACATAGACGTGCTTCCCTGCACCGACACGCATGTTTCAGACCAGCCGCAGTGTCGTCCGCGACGATAGCACCTCGTCTAGACGTTGCAGACAATGTGCCTACGATAACATATATTTCGCAGACCAACTGAGTTCATGTATGGATCCTGCACACATACTGCAGGACGCGGCCTCCGCCTGTGGCCCTCTACGACGACAGTTGCATAGGCCTCGCACAAAGTTGTGCTGCTCGAGTCGCACGTCCGCCCGCCGCCGTTGCTCCCGCCGATGTCGGACATTGATGCTACGGGATCACATCCCCGCAACGTGTCTGCCAGCAGCAGCCTATAATGATATCGGAGACGTCGGTGAGAATTAAAGGAAATGAACCTGTGCGAACAGGGGAAATGCCATACCGTATGACGAGGGTTTCGCCGGCGGAAGCGAAGAACACGGTGTGCCCCACAATGAGCGCAGCCTAGCTCGTCTCGAAGACGCGCGCTGACCCTGATATGAGTATGTGCTCCAATAGACCACTGGCAGCACGTTCCTGTTCCCGCGTAGATGCTACTGCCGCGCTGCACAAGGATTTGGGCACGCGTTTGAGGGGGACCGCTTGGTGTGAATGTGCGTTCCTGCGGGCTGGACCCACAACTGCCGGCGCCTCACGTCTGCCCAAGGCGGACATAACCCGCTCACGCGAGGATAGAGTCGCGCAGGACGGAAGAAGCCGACACGAACTCCCGGGGCAGGAGCTTGGCTGACAGTTTTGGTTGAGCTGTTGCCGTACATCGTTCGCGTCCGCGGTCCTCGCGATATGGAGGGACCCAGCGCTTGGGACGCCTCGTGCCCGCTCTGCTGGGGGCGCTGAACGTCTAACGGGCCCGAGGAATGTGCCTTGCAACCCGTACGTATGGTTCCAAGCATGCGGGTCCCCCGGTGGCGTTCACGGATCGGCGGCCGTGATCTCCGCAAGAATGCACGCGGCCGCGCCTGTGTGGGCTCCTCGAGTGTGCTGGGTGAGAGATGAGAGAGACCACACCGCGATGGAGGTCCTGCAGGGTAAACACCGTACAGCTCAGGCAGGGTCATCAAATGGATGACGAGCGCGATGTGCCATACATGACAGCCTCGTTGGCAACCTCGAAAGATTTCTTCGTGCAGCCTTCGTACCGAGCCGATCAGCATGACAGCGCACTAGCTTAGAAAGCATGCGAACTTACCTTGGTGCAGGCCGCAATGCGACGGCGTCTCTCGCAGTAGAATCCGAGGTAGATGTCCATCTCCGAGTCTGCAGACTCATCCTGGTGTGTATACGTCGTCCAGAGAGGGTGTGCGAGTGCACAGCGTGACAGGCTGCATGGCGTCGTTGGGAATGACGCGGGAATGACCGTTATGTGCGAGCGGGCTCGGAGGTGCTGTGTACAAGCGAGACGTGATGGCAAGTATTACCAGGAACATTACGCCAGAGTCTGGGCACCGAGTTTCGGCTCACGCCGCCTGATGCGTTCCTAACCAATAGTCAGTGGACGAGCAGGGCAGCGTATGGGCGGAGACGCGCGAGAATTCGCCCTGTGCAAGGTGCGGACTTCCCGCCCTTTCGACACTTGCACACAGAGCTTAGCATGGGAGGAATACGGTGCACACCGTGCGGCACAGACAGAAATCCGCTTACCTGGGATGTGGCATTTACACTCGTGTTATGCCGAAGAGCGTGTCATCTGCCTTTCCCAGACGGTACAATGTGGAAGGGGCTTGCCTGTCTTGAGAAAACGCGCGCGTGAACACCAAACAAGGACCGTGTGCTGCAGAAGCCCGATCCTCGCCTACGAAACCTCCGACGGCGTGATGCACATAGTTCGGGCCAGGTCCTGGCCAGGGGATTTTATGTTGGCTGGCGGAGAAACAAATAGTGAGCGCGGCCATTCCTAGCGCATTTAGAAATACGCACGCAGGCTCGGCACACCCGTGGCTAGCGAGGACGGCCGGGAGTCAACAGTACAGTGTCCCATTGAGAGGCCATTGTGGGCTGGGTTCTGCGCCGTCTTGAGACAGCGACGTAAGATGTCACTATAATTTGGCAAGAACTTTCCTGCCGCATTCGGGCACAGGGAAGCTCACCGTTTTTCCTCCTCGCATCGGAGGCGAACCGGTCCTGGGGAACCCCGGGTGTGACCACCTACAAGGAAATGTTGGTGCTACTTGCGCAAAAGGGAGGGTGTGAGATACGCACCCAGGCCGTCGCCGTGGTCTTGCTCATGTTTCCATAATACTGTGGCCGTCGGCTTTCGGACCGCCATAGACTCCCCCAAACTGTCCGACATGCCCCCTTCACAGCTCTCCATCTTCCCTGAGGAGCCCCCCACCGTGACATTCTTGCCTCTCCATCCTTACGCCGCCCTAGAGCCCGAGTCTGCTTTTCCGACCACCCGCGATGGCCTGCGCATGGAACTCCGTACCGAAGTCATCGGCGAGTTTCGTGAGTGCTAATCGCACATTCTTTCCACCGTCCAGCTGCTCACGATGATGCTAGGCAGACTCACCGGCATCGACGACGCGAACCTCAGCTATTCGGAGAAGCTATACGCAAAGAACACTGTCATCAGAGATGGGTGGAAGCTGTGCGGATGGCCGAAGAGGATTCCGTTTACGGACTTCAACAGCATCCGGGGAGGGAACGCGGTGCTGTGCACGCTGCTCCGTCGCTGGAGGAAGGGGGTTCTGAGGTTCGAGCGCGCGACTCCCGAAGACATCGAGACTGCGAGGCGCAGCCCGAGTGCTGTCCGCCCGGGCGCTGCCAAGAAGAAGGCGCGTCCACCGCCACACGCGCCTGCACCTTCAAACAACGCCGTCAATGTCTCCCCGCTCGCTGACAACCCAGGTAGCCCGAGCACCATCTGTGAGCATTTGACCTCGCCTCATTCGCCGCTCGCAGCCACTCTCGGCGAACACCAGCGCCAGCAGCGTACGGACACGAAGAAGCCTCGCGGCCGAGACCTCACGGGGCGCTACGTCCGCAAGAACCCGCTGCCAAAGGAGGGCGTCAAGAGTAAGCCGTTCATTGTCGACTCCGACGTCGAGGACGACTTCGGGCAGCCTGCGGCGGAGCACGGGGAGTTCTATATCTTCGATGAGCCGATCCCGGCATTCCGGCCTGCCAGTGACGCGGAAGGCAGCTTGTTCGCCTTCTTTGCCTGTTCTCCATTCGAGTCCAACGGCCGCCCGAGCGGCACCATGCGTCTCTCGGACATCGCGATGGGTTTGTAGCCTGGAGCGGAGGAAGGGTCAGGCTCGGAGTGGGATCAGTGCTCGTACTTACCTGCTTGGAGGCTGGCGTGAGCGTATTCGTAGTTATTGTGCTCGCATTGCGTATTATATTCACAATTAATTGGAATCCTTGAGCGATGTTGGGTGCTGCGTCCGTTGGGAGTGTGCAGGGAGGGCGTCGAGATGAAGGTTTGGAGATTGCGGTGGTGGGCGTCTCAGACGAGGCCTCCTTCCCATTCAGGCATATCGGCCGGACGTGGGCGCTTGCTGATCGTTCCTTCGTCCTGTTCCCTCACCACACGCTCAGCCTGCGACGGAGGAAACTCGCTTGCACGCACGCAATGCAAGGTCTCTGATTTACTATCAGGGCGTGATTTAGGCTGTCGTAATGTATGGCTGATGTGCAAGCGTCCACGGCGATCCACTACGCTCGAGCCGGGCGGGCATCGACATGCAGCAAAATCTGACAAGGATTTCTAAGATGATGGTATGTGCAAGTCGTGTGTGCAATGTATCGAAGATGACACGTCTGTAGATTTGACAAAGTGTCGATGGTGCGCGAGGGAAAACGCGACTTGATTGGGAGGGAAGCGAATTCCCCCAATCTGAACTGGGCACCCCTCCGCCGACAGATCTCGGATCTGGAGCGCTCGCACGCTGACATGGACACGGTATATAAGGCTTTAAAGCGCGCAAAATCATCCTGGTCGCCGATACCCCCTCCCCGCCATTTCCTGTCTTGCTCCAGCTCGACCCGGCCTCGCCCCCATACACCTCGTGCTATCTGCAGGTGGCTTGTACGACTGCGTCAGCTGTTGGCACCCCGTTTTTGCTCCCTCCTCGTTCCCATGATGGCCGTCTTCTCTGGGCCCGCCTCGCGAGGAACAGTCAGCACGCGACCACTCCAGTAGCGGCAGCTCGGTGTTCGAGCGGGTGCCTCGTGTGGCAGTGCTGAATATTGGTGGGTGCCGCGCCGTGCATGTGTCTCCACTAACACGGTGAGTCCTCAGCCTGCAGTGTTCTTGAGAGTCCGCACGCAACACGGCCCGCGACATAGGTTTGTTCGCTCGACCTAGGGGGAAATTATCTGCAAAAGATGATAGGGTGTGTATTGAGCCCTCTACCGTATTCGCCGGCTGATTCAAGGACTGTGACAGCCGCCTGCACTCACCGACACGCTCCGAGCCTAGAGTCCGGTTTCCCGCTGTCGTCCCGACCCCATCCCGCCCCCGGGAGCGACGCCAGCTCACAGGCGAACCCGCAGGCACCTCCCGCACGTCCTTCGCCGCTTACTGCAGCGGGCTCTCGTCCAGGGTCGGTACAACGCGCAGGTGCTCCCTGGCCGGACGTCCCGTTATGCCTCTAGGCGCCCACTCAGGAATTCTAACTTCTGGGTCTCCTTGCACTCTCTGTCACGCGCAAGCTAGTCTGTTGGGGCGGGGTGGGTGCGCGGTCCCGGTGCGCGGCACGAACGGAAGCCTACACACTGTCTGGCATTGCACTGACCTCACATAATGCGATGCGCGCGTGCACAATTCTGCCATGACGGTGCGACTGGCAGATGGTGGCAGATGGTGTCTCCGGGTCGCTTGATGGTGCATCGCCATTCTTACGCGGCCGCGCGGTGTGGCTCTACCGCCCGCGTGTTCACTTTTGATATATTTCCGAATGTGTGGGCCCGCAACGGGGATGCTCGTTTCCGCCTGGAATGACGTCGCTTGTGGCAGAATTCGTATTAAAATACGAGGCCGGAGTCCAGTGGTACGTGCGGAAGAGGCGGTTTGGCTAGCATAGCTACAGCGCCGCAAGAACAGACGCGGAGAGGTTAGCTATGGCCGTATACTCGGGCGAACACAAAGACGGGGTGGGTGTCCGAGTCGGCAGCACGCGAGGTGCCGGGTATCTACCTTCACGATCCTTCGACCCCGTATATCCACACTGCATGTCCAGCGCACTTAATATACATTCATCAACGGTGTATCTATGATATGTACACCTTTGCAACGCTCTCCACGCGTGCCCGCCGACCTCAACTGCCCTCCCACCGTCTGCCACCGCCAACCGACACCGCAAACTAGTACTCACTGACCTAGTACCACTCACCACCCTCCCATACTTACGAATTCATTCTCCAGCCTCCAGCCCCGGGAGTCCGCACCGTCCGCACCGCCCGGGAGCACAGCGAACGCTCGGCTCATCTCGATGCAGACACACGATGACGTCTTCTACCACGCCAGTGCTCGCGTTCGCCTTGCCCCACCGGTGTGTGACCGAGTTCCAGGCCGGCATAACGAACGGGTTCGGGAAGTCGGCAGGTTTCTGCTGGAACCTGTACGGCAGAAAGGGATTGTCGATCGCACCCGAATTGCCCAGCGGCGGGAGCGCGACGGTGAGTTGCGGCTGGGTGTAAAGCTCTCGGGGAGGCCGTGCGGTGCTGGACCAGTCCCAGTACGGAAAACGGAGCTGTATGGCTGCGTCGACCCAGTCTGGCTTGAAGTTGGTGTACCTCTGGGCGATGTCGAGCGCCACACGTTGCAGTTCTTGCTATCGAGGACGTCAGCGGTCGAAGTGCAACGTCTGGAATAGAGACGATCGAGGGCTACAGACCTCAATCAGCGCCATGTAGGGCCTGTGCCAGGTCGGAAACAGGACGGAGCCATGCGAGCAGTAACCCAAGAATTCTGGTGTGGGCTCGACGTGCTGTACGCCGGCCCCGTCGTAAGGAATGTATGGAGCGCCGTGAATGCCAGCTATCTGGAAGAACGACAAATTCGAGTTGGAGTCCACTGTGGTCATCATATGCACTAAGGGACATGGATATCAGGGCTGAGGTGATCGACTCTAGCATGAGAGTACTCACATAACGCCTGCACGAAGAGCGAGAACTGCTTCACGTCCGCCATGAAGGGGACAATCTCGCGCCGATTGAACACAGAGGCTCCTTTGCTGTCTGTGCCTACAACACCGGATGTAACACGGTGAGCCATTCTGGAAAAGGTGGGTACTTCGGTACGGAGGCGAGGTGCTGGACGAGAGTAAGGGTGTAGTCCGCCGCCGATATGCCCTTCGAGCAGCTGTCTTTTATATCCTGTATTCACCGGATTGATGGTTAGAGTAGTGCACCAATCGGCTGCAACGTCCTCGCGGCGGGCTACATCTGCCACTCGTATACCGACAGATGTAGACCGGTGGTGCCGACGGCGACTTGCAATGCCTGACGTGGGCCACAAAGTTGCCGAATTCAACGGCGGTCATGTGCACATATTCTCTGCACATCCAGCGGGTAGCAGGAGACCGGGGACGTCGACCTTAGACCAAGGGGTTCCAACCCCCGATGCCAGAGGTGTTCGGCAGGAACAGAGTGTACCGAAGAATACGGGCTCGCCGGTCGGGCGCTTCTAGGATTGATAGTCCCGTATCGACGCAGCGGTGTCGGCTGAAACATCGAACGCATCAGTATATCCACTGGCAGCTAAGATACATGGACGGAGTATCATGATTTGCGCTTGAACAAGTAGTGCCCAACTCCCCACCTGTGAGTTCGTTCAGCGTACGCTCTGAACCGGAACGGAGATCAACTTACTCCTGCCCGTTGTGGAGGGCGAAGAACTCCGCCACAGCGAGGTAGAAAACCCGGAATCTGACGCCACATGAGAACCTCCGAACAGCACACGAAAAGTATGATGCGCACCTGTAGAAGGCCTTCCGGCCCTCCTCCTTATCGAGTCCCTTGGAGACGGCATCCTTCTCGAGCTCCGCGAGCCCCGCTTTCGCGTTTGCGTCCTGCCGGCGGAGCCAGTCCTCGCTGGTCTGGGCGTAGTGCTTCCCGTTGATATACCAGCTGCGGATGTGCGTCAAGTCGTCTTGGAAGTACAGCTAAGTCGCAGGTAAGCGAGTGTTCACACATATCGAGAGTCGGTAGAGACGTACAAGCAGGTCGTGCGAAGGCATTGTGCCGCCTGTACGTGAGCAGTTAGCACCCGAGGAGACAACGTATGCCTGAGGGTGGGTTCTGACCCGAGAAGAATGTCTGTGCCATCCAGCCGTCGCCTTCCTCGAAGTGGTAGGGCGTCGTCTTGTGGCAGAATATGTGCACGAAGAACAAAGACTCGTCGGGGCTGTTCGGACGTAACCAAGATGAGACCTTCGACATGAGAAGCTTGTAGTTCTTCATATGTTCGAACATCTGAGGGCATATATGAGATGGTTTTCGACATTTATAGTAGCATCCAGTTTGTGCCATACCTCGATAGACAAGATGCGGTCAAAGCTGCAAGAATCTGGTCAGAAGCGCGCCTGACATCTTGGGAAGAGGACTGACTGCCGTGTGCCGTGGAAGTCATGGACGTTAACATCGGCGGTAATGATCTGACGCGCGGGTCAGCCCTTTGAAGTAGATATGACGGCGAGGCGTCTACCTCCAAATTCGTGAGGCCACGAGCCTTCGCAGCGTTGTCTATGTGTGTCTTTTGGGTGGATGAGTTCGATAGCCCAGTAATCTTCGATCCTGGATATTTCTGCGAAACACGTGTGAACGAACATAGACGTAGGGCGTGCAGCACGTCATAAACCTACCTGCGCAAGGTACAGGGATAAACTGCCCCACCCTGAGTTTGGAGCTTCAGTTCGTACAATTCAAGACGAGAGCGCGACGCATACCGCAGCCAAGGTCGAGTATCTCTAGTCCGTCCCTCAACTGCGCCTTCTCGCAGTAGCTTTCGAGCATCAAAATCTCTGCCTCCTCCAGTGTCTCCTTGCCGGTGGGATATAGACAGCACGAGTACTTCGCATAGGGGCCGAGGCACGAGAGCATGAACGAGGTAGAGACCTAGCAGATGTCATTGGTTAATGTATTACTTTACCCACTCACACGACATACCTCATAATGCTGCTCGTTGGCCTTCTCCGTCAGGTCCGCAATCTTGGTTCTAGCGCGGACGTCCTCTATCCATTTCATCTTGGCTGCATAGTTGGCCTCGAAGGAGCCGAGGTCTATCTCTCTGAGTCGTTGCCGACACAGCACACGGATGACCGGTCTGAGTATAAGGTCTGGAACAGCACCCTGGCAGATAGAATCACTCTCAGAAACTGGACGACGACCCCAAAGCGGCGGCAGAGCGGTACCTTGTCGAGGAGCTTGTAGCCGACTTCGAGGGCGCGGTCAGTAAGGGACATAGTGGTGGTGGTGGTGGTGGTGGTAAGAGAACAACAAGCGGGGTGCGGGAAACGTCGTCGCCAGGCAACCCTGCGGTGTTCCCGCCATGGGTGGCAGCGTGCCCGAGAGACGCTGCGCCGGTGCCCGACGCGATGGCAGGACGCACGACGCGTCGCGATCGAGCTGCCCATCGGCGTCACGTGCGGGGACGACGCGGGGCAGACGCTGGCGCAGCGACGCTCCTGCGTTGCCTGCTCTCTCCTCTCCATCCCCACTCCGCGCATCGCGGCTCGTTCTCGCTTGGGCCACTGGTTTCCATTGCTGCCTGTGCTCGTACACTACAACGTCCCTGACTCTAGTCTACCACTGCTCGACCACTGGCCCTGCGCCCCTCGCATCGCTTCCCCAGTCCCGCCGCCGCACGAGCGGCCTCTCTTTGCAGGCGTCCCGCGCGGCGAACAGCACTCAGTTCTGTATGTACTTACCACCCAGCCGCCCTCACGCCATGCCCTCGCCCTCGCCCTCGCGCCTCCGCTCGGCCTCCCTGCGCCGTCGATACCTCTTGCCTGGCCAGGCCGCGCTCCGCTCGTCCGCTGCCAAGTCCGTGTCAGCATCATCTGCCGTATACCAGCAAGCACGGAACTCGCCACTCACCATATCCCGCCTGGTGTCTCGACTCTAGTCGCATTCGTCCTGTATACTAACTCGTGAAAGGCAGAAGACGGTCAGCTACGAAACATTAGACCGTCCGTTACGATGCAGGCCCTGCTTGCACGCCCAAATCTGCTCTCCGGGGAGTGCCCTTTGCGCTATTCCGACTTCAGGTGAGTTAATCCTGCCCCACTTTACCTGCAAATCAAAGGCTAATACGCATGGTCAGCATGTATGCGCGCGAGTCGTCAACAGCGAAAGGACATACTCGGCTCGCGACGAGCCGTTCCGTACGCTCGCCGAGCACGACAGTTGCTGCTGCTCGCCGTCAGGTGCGCAATGGCCGCGGCGCAGGCTGTACACGCAGTCAGCGGACGGGCGATCGCAGAAGCCACGACCAGGGACGTACCGGACGACACAGCGCATTCAGCGTTCGACGATACGAAGCCTGTCCGAGCGAAAGGCGAAGAGGGAGGGGATGAGCCTGTCTTCGACGCCCCCCGCCAGCTTTTAACCGTCCCATGACGCGCACGGACCTCCCCCTTGTCCTGGAAATGCACGGTGCACGCCTGGGAGGTCGCTGTTCGGGTCGTGGCGCGCTCGCCATCTCTGCCGCCGGCGCCCCGTCCACGCTCGGACGTCAAGACTGTCCGGGCCCCACGCACACCCGCCCCTGACGGTGCATACCCCTCAGGACGGCGCACGTTCCGCGCCGAGCGAGCACCGACCGCCAGCGCAGACGGCCCGCTCCCCTGGCCGCCCCACGAATTGTCTACAAGATAGTCCGCCGTTAGAAGGCTTACAGGTCGGTGCGGCACAGATGGTCCTCTCCACGGGGCAGCACGAGCACGGGGCGCAGAGCGCAGAGCGCAGGTCGTTGCGGCTAGCACGTTTGCAAAGTACGTACAGCCTGCTCGATGTGCGCACTTCGATCTGATGCCCTCGTGCCCCGAAGCGAGCATGGACGGCCTCACCTGTGGCCGTTCCCATTTGCGTTCAAGACACCGTCTTCGCGCATGCCCGACACACAGCGGGCATGTCGTATGGTCCGCGTGCCTCGCACCGTTGTGTACGCCGTACCGCCGCATGCGCCCCCGCCTCTGCACGCCGCCTCTCGTCGGCGGGGCCCCTCCTCTCTCGAGGTCGACTCCCGCCGCGACGTCTCCCCGTGCGGCTTCCCGAACGCGATAGCGCACTCACGCGCACCGCGACGCATGTACACTACAGTACGCAGTGCCGTCCGCGCCAATATATTGCGTCATCTTCGCCCGGTGGATGGATGGAAGGAGGCAGAACACTGCGCGTCCCCGCCCGCTGTTACGTCCCTCAGTGGCGTCATTCGGTCCACACGCGTGGCGGACGTCTGCGATCGTTCTCCGCCGTGCGCAGACGCATGCGGGCAGTGCATGGCGGTATTTCGGCGGGCGGGGCTCGGTGCCCCGTCTGCGTGGGCGTCGTCCTCGAACACTGAACACGGGGGCACGTCGTACATGTTGAGGCGTCTCCAGGACACCCAAAGTGTGTTCCGCGTTCGCGCATCATGCGTGATCGTCGCGCAAGGTGGAGGGGGTCCCGGGTGGGGGGTGCACGCCGACATAATGCCACTCTCCCGCCTCGGCGCCGCCCCGGAGGCCTTCGTACCCACGATAGAACATTGAATTGCACATCGACGCATACTGTTGTCGAATCCCGGGGCAATCAGGCGAGAGAGATGCGCGTCGTCTCCACGCCATCTCATGGGTGGCAGGGACCAAATGACAGCACAGAATCTCCTCTCGCGGTCCATACTCGTGTCCTCCCTCGGCGCGGCTTGTGATAAATGGCACCTCGCGCCCCGCCCACTATTTCCTGCCGCTCTCAGCTGTGCGCGACGGGCTCGGGACAAGCTGGATCTCGACGATGCCGGGGAGCTGCTCGATCCCCCACGTCCGGGCACGTTGAGACGCCGCTGCGGGGCGGGCCTCTCTCTCCATCGACGTGTACTAGCCATACATTGGCAAGGCACGTCTCGCCGTCGTAGTCCGCGGTCGCAGGACGCACACGGTCGCAGCGGCGTCGCGCGGGCGCGGGCGCGGGTGCATCCCGACGACACATCGCTTTCCCGCCGCGCCCTGCGTGTGGAGCCGCCCAAAACGCATGCGCACACTCTACGCACCAGGCCACATGCGCTCGGTGAGTCTC